GATGCACAGAGTCACTATACCAAAAAGAGTTGGTCGATGTTCAACCATTTCAGGAGGCAGTATATGATCAAGAAACAATCGTATTGAAGGAAGAAGTCCAAGCTGCACTAAAGGCACTGGTGAAAAACAAGGCCCTAGGAATTGACTGAATACCAACTTAGATGTTTCAACAAATAGATGCAGCGCTGGAGGTGCTCACTAGTCTATGCCAAGAAATTTTGAAGACAGCTACCTGGCCAACCAACTGGAAGAAATCCATATTTGTGCCCATTCCAAAGAAAGGTGATCCAACAGCATGAGTAAAATGTCAAATAATATCATTACTGTCACACACAAGTAAAATTTTGCTGAAGATAATTAAAAAAATAATTGCAGCAGTACATGGACGGGGAACTGCCAGAAATTCAAGCCAGGTTCAGAAGAGGACATGGAATGAGGGATATCATGGCTGATGTCAGATGGATCTTGGCTGAAAGCAGAGAATACCAGAAAAGATGTTTACCTGTGTTTTATTGACTATGCAAAGGCATTCGACTGCGTGGATCATAACAAGTTATGGATAACATTGCCAAGAATGGGAATTCCAGAACACTTAACTGTACTCATGAGGAACCTGTACATAGATCAAGAGGCAGTTGTTTGAACAGAACAAGGGGATACTGTGTGGTTTAAAGTCAGGAAAGGTGTGCATCAAGGTTGTATCCTTTCACCATACTTATTCAATCTGTATGCTGAGCAAATAATCTGAGAAGCTGGACTATATGAAGAAGAACAGGGCAATGGGTTTGGTTTTTGGTTTTTTGGTTCTTGATAAAGAAGACCTGGTGGTGTAAAGTACAGGATCAATGGAAAAGAGGAAAACCCTCAATGAGATGGATTGATACAGTGGCTGCAACAATGGGCTCAAACATAACAATAATTGTGAAGATGGTGCAGGGCCAGGCAGCTTTTCGTTTTCTTGTGCAGGGTACCTATGAGTTGGAAATGACTTGGTGGCACCTAACAACAACCACAGTTCTTAATAAAAGGGATTAGGAAGTTTTCATTCATTTTCAAAGCTCTGGAACAATTTATAGGGTATAGGGACTATACAGACTTTAAAGATTCGGTAGAATTCCACGGTGAAACTATCTGGACCTTGTTTTTTGTTTGGTTGATTGGTTGGTTGAGTATGTGTGTGGGAGAGTGGGTGATTTCTTAATAATTTTCTCTTATTCTCCTATAAAAATTGGTCTGTTTAAACTTTTTATCTTTAGGGGGTTAAGATTGGTAATCTGTATTTCCCTAAGAAACTATCCATTTCATCTTAGGTTTTGTATTTATTTCATATTTATTTGCATAGACCTCTGCAAAGTATTGTGATTTTTTAGATATCCTGTTTTCATGGAACTTTAAGAATGGAGAACCTTTGAGAATGGAGACTTCCATTCTTAAGGGAGAAAATTGGGACTTGGGGAACTTCTGTTTCTTGCACAAGAACAAACAGCTAATAAATGGTGGAGTGCTCTTACCAGTCTGCTAATGATGAAATGTTGAGATCATGGAGAAACGGGACTAAATGGAACAAAGTCTGGAGAGGTACTAGACTGCTTCCCTCAGATGGCTCACCTGTGTGCCACCAGACTTAGGCAGTTACTACTCAATATGCCTCCATGTTCTTTGTTCACTTAAACATTGAAATAAAGCAAAGAAAACAGAAAAATCATACGGATCTAGATCAATGGAAAATTTATTTAATGACAATGTTTTTTTTTAAAAATCCACCCCTACAGGTGTATATTGGAGACCTGGTAGGGCAGTGGTTAAGAGCTCGGCTGCTTACAGAAAGTCCCTGGTTCATATCCACCAGCCACTCCTTGGAAACTCTATGGGGTAGTTCTACTCTGTCCAATAGGGTCTCTATGAGTCGGAGTCAACTCAATGGCAACGGGTTTGGTGATTTTTTTTTTTTTTTTAATTAAAGTACATATCTGCTTCCTGTGAACTATGCTTGTTTGTGGACTGCAAATGTCACGGGGACAGGCACTGTGACCTCTTTCAGCAGAGACAGAAGCATCTAAGTCTAGCATCTCCACTAAGTGCTCTTCTTCAGTCCAACCCTTCACATCAATTTCTCCAAGCCATACTTCTGAAAATACTGTGTTCTCATCTCCCCTCCATCTCATCCCTCATCCCTCGTGCTTAAAAAAATATGTTGTTCATACCTTCAAGATAAAATGCAATCTCATCCTAAATTTCAAACTCTATTATAAACTATCCTAGAAGGGAGACAACACCTCATCACACTTTAGTCACAAGACTCACCTATCTATTATCTTGTTACATCACTGAGTAAATGCTTCAGGACCATACCACCAAGCCCAAATTTGCACTCAAATATAAGAGATGAAATCTCTATCCCACCAGAAGTTCAGAACTCTCTAGTAATTCATTATTTCCAGACTCCAATTCCTTAACAATCTCTCTATTCATCCCTTTATTGGCCTAACTTTCCATTTCTCCTCCCCTTCCCCAGTTCTCCCTCTTCACTCATCTAAACTCCAGCACTAGAATCAGCAGCCGCCATCCCAATACCTTCAACCTGGAATTCTTCCTGGGGAGACTACATCCCCTGCAGCTCTATAGAAGGGAAGTTGTTTAGTCTCACCCCTGGCCTCTGAGTTCCCTGACATTCTCAGTGACCTTTCCTCCCACCCCCTTTCCAGTCACCCTCTTCTAAAGTTACACCTATGCTGGAGCATATCATCCCTAAAATGGTGCCACTTCCCCAATAAGAATCAAAGCATTCCCACTGCACTTAGCATAAAGTAAACTCTTCCTATAGGGCTGTTTAGGATCTGGCCTTTGACTACCTCTCCAGTGTTATCGTTCCCTCTCTTATTTGCTTTATTATTACCACATGAGCCTTCTTTCAGGTTTTTCAAACAATGCAAAGTCCTCTCCTGATTTGAGGCCTTTGTATCTGGCATCCCCTTGCCTGAAACGTCCTTCTCTTGGCTCTCTGCAGGAGTCTCTGGGTGGTGCAAACAGTTAATGTGCTCAGCTGTGAACCAAAAGATTAGCAGTTTGAGTCCACCCAGAAGTAGCTCAGAAGAAAGTCCTGGTGATCTACTTCCAAAAAATTAGTCATTGAAAATCCTATAGAGCACAGTGCTACTCTGACACACATGGGGTTGCTATGAGTTGGAGTCGACTCCACAGCAACTGATATTAGTACTGACTCCATGCATGGTTAGCTCCTTCTCATCTTCAGGTCTCAGTTAGATCTTAATTCTTCACCAAGGCCTTATCTGTCCACTCTTGGTAAGTAGATTTCCTCCCTCCATTTTTCTCTATTATAGAGGCCTATTTGTTTTCTTCAGAGTTTTGCAACTTCATTTTTCAGTAACTAAACTCAGTTTATATTTTAAGCTCTCATTCCCTTTGTGGGGAAATAATATTAGTCTTCTTGGGTGGCCCTCCTCCTTTCTCTGACCCCAACCTCTGAAGAGCTTACAAAGTGCTAAGGTATACAGTAGTGAATGGGAGTGAGGTAATCTGGTTCTCCACGTCTGACACCCACTGAAAGAACCTTATTCCCATGAGGTTAGCGGTCATCACAGATCACTGTGGCATCTTCTTGAGTTGTGGTATTGTAATTTCTTGATTGTAAATACTTCCTCATATCTCTCTTGGTTTCCACAGGGCTTAGTACTAGCTGGGCCATAATGGATGCTCAAGAAATACTGAAATTGAAACAGTTTATCCCCAATGCCTCTGGGCTACCAATGACGCCTGGAAGAAAGCTGGATGACCAGGCTAACTCTGAGGCCCCATGTCACAATTCTTGGAGAGCCCTCTATGTCATTTTGGTCCCTTGAAATAATAACAGTCACTGCTATGTGTGTTGCCCATTATGGTTTACAGATGTGCAGTGCGTATAGCAGCAACTCTTATTCTGCTATGGTTTTCTTATTCTTCTTATGGTTCACAGAGGACTTTCACAAACTTATTGCATTTGCATTTCATGTGTGGTGCCCACTCCATCGACTGTGGTATAGAATTTTAGAGTCACAAGAAGACGTAGAGACCATTAAATTTAAGGTGTTTATTTTATAAATGAGTAAAGGGAAGTCCAGAAAAAGGAAGTAAATTTCCCAAAGTCACACAGCAAGTTAACAAGGTTGGGACTAGAGGCCAGGTCACTAATGTCAAGTCCTGTATTCTTTCCACAACACTATATCACATTAGCCCCATGAGCTAATTAGTTGCATGCATCAAGTCAGGCCCATGGACTGTAGTGGTTCCATATACCAGTGGTTTACTTTTCAGAGTTGGCTACAGATATTTGCTGTGTACATGTACCACTCTGATAGTATTTATCACCTTAGCCTTTTACTGTTTTCTTTTACCATACCATGTCACTTAAATTTACCATGTTTCATGTTGTTTACATGTATTCCATTGGTTCTTGTGCCATTACGGTAAATTAAATTGTTAACCCACAATTTGCTGCCCTCCCTATAGAGGGACTGTACATCCCTGCACAATGCCATGTGACCTGCTTTAATTCTCTGTGGGAATATAATACTTCCTACACCTTTACCATCAGAGTTGACTACATGACTTGCTTTGGACAATAAGATGTGATGAAAGAGATGTGTGTCACTCATGAGCAGAAGTTTTAAAGGTGTTCATTTATTTTAGCTATTTTTTCTTTCCTTCTGTCACAAGAATGGCATATTCTAAGTAGGGCTCCTTCTTCAGCCAGGATCCAAAGCTAAAGAAGGCCACAGCCAACCTATAAATGATATGGAACATGAGTAATACATGAACCTTTGCTGTTGTAAGCCACTGAGTTTGTGGAAATGTTTGTTATTGCACCACAATGTAGCAAGTTGATGAGTACAGCCATGTTGGTTTCATGGACCACATTTGTTCAACTGGACAAATACTACGTTGGTTCAAATATACAATGTTGGTTGAAAACATTACAGATACTGACCCTTTTGGATCCCAGTTCACCGGGCCACCCTACCACGCCCCATCACCTTGAGAAAAGCTCCCTTGATGTCCTTGTTTCTCAGACTATAGACAACAGGGTTGAGCAGAGCTGTGAAGACATTGTAAAAGAGCGCAATCTTCTTGTCATGTTCAGGGGAGTAGCTGGAGTTGGGTCTCAGGTAGATGTAGGTGGCTGGAGCATAGAAGAGTGTGACCATAGTCAGGTGGGAAGCACAGGTGGAGAAGGCCTTGCAACGGCCCCTGGCAGACTTGATCTTGAGAATGGCCAGGGCAATACAGATATAAGAGGCCAAAATGAGGGAAAGTGGAGTAACATTCACAAACACACTGATGACCAGGTCCACCATCTCAATCAAGTGGGTGTCCATGCAAGCCAAACTCCGTACTGAGGGGCCCTCACAGAAGTAGTGGTTGACGATGTTGGGCCCACAGTAAGGCAGCCTCATGGTGAGGGAGGTGTGAATCAGAGAGAAGAAGAAACCACAGGCCCAGGTCCCAGCTGCCAGTTGTGTGCACACTCTCCAGCTGAGGATAACAGTATAACACAGCGGGTAGCAAATGGCCACATATCGGTCATAAGCCAGGACCACAAAGAAGATGCACTCGGTCAGGCCCAGAGCACCAAACACATACATCTGCAGCCAACAGCCAGCAAAGGAGATGGTCTGACAACGAGCAAGAAGGTGCACCAGCATCTGGGGCATGGTGGTGGTGACATAACCCATGTCCAATAGGGAGATGATACAGAGAAAGAAGTACATGGGAGTGTGGAGATGTGAGTCCAGGCAGATCAGAGTGACGATGAGTCCATTGCCCAGGATCGAGCTCAGGTGCAGGAGAAGGAAGGCAATGAAGAGGATCCTGTTGGAGGTGGGGTCACTGGAAAAGCCAAGCAAGATAAAGTCAGAGACCCAGCTTTGGTTCTGCTCTGGAGGCATCCACATGGTGAGGCCTATAAGAGAACCACACTCATATAAATGTCACCCGAAGTATGGTAGCCTACAAGAATGTCAGCTGTGGAGGCAGATGGGCTAGGATTTTAATTCTGGCCCCACTGCTCATCTGCTGTGCAATCTTAAGCAAATTATTTAACTCTCTGAGCGTCCGTCTCTTCGTACTGTAAAACATGGCTAATAATACACAACTCTCAGAATTTTTATAAGGAGTAGAGGCAATGTAAATGATGCATCTAACACAATGCCTTAAAATAGTAAGTAATATGTGAAATGCTCATATGAAACTTCCTCACTCTCATTCCAAACCCCTCAGCAGACAAAGTGGTCACTCACATGTCTAGCGACAACCCATTTACACCACATCAGCTCCAATCCCCAAATCTCTAAGAGACGTAGTCCTCCTAATATCATTTATCTGGATGTGCCCAAACCAATGGTTACGTGTCTCTCCTCGTCATACAAAGACATTTCTAATTGTCACATCTCTCTTTCTTACTGAGCCTTGAAGAGGCTTCAGAACCTTTAACATGACATAATAGTTAACTACTACCAGTTGGGATGAACTGGCACTCAAGAAGAACATCTAACCCCTCTAGTTCAATTCTCTCCTCTATTTTACAGATGTGAAAATCAAGAACTGTATCTTTCAGGGGCCATCAATAGGAATATCCATCTATATGACTCTCTCTATCTTGGCAGATCCACGTGAGCAGGTGTCTGTCAGACAAAATCATAAAAGTATGGAAGAGCAGAGACTTACATCATTTAGTTCTACTACACTCAGCCTCTCTTCATCCCTTTCATCTGCCAATATCCTAGTTACTTCCTCTCATTTATCAAAGCTTTGGCACCTGAGTCTTAATGTCCCATTCTGTCCCTGGACTTGCCATTTTCCAAAATAACTTCAAAGCCCATGAGGATGACTCATCATTCCACAACCTGGCCTCTCATTTTCATGACTTCTTCTATTCTAATGATCTTCACTTCACTCTGACCACTCTCTCTCATGGCCACATCCGGGACTTTGCCATCACTTGGAACTGTTATGCCTCTGAATTCACTAATCCATCTCACTTTCTTGCTTCATCCTTTTATCTGTCCAGGTGTATCCCTTCCTTATTCCCACTACACTTACTATTTTAAGTTATTTTGGATCCCACAGGAGATTGAAAGTTGAGGTAACCTTATTTGATAATTCATGACATACCATTATCTTCAGTCCACACTGGACTTCTTTTTGCTTTATTTCATTTAACTTTTTCTTTTCATCCTTAATCACTACTCTGATTACTTCCACCAAAGATAGCCACTCTGATAATTTCTTTGATGTATGTCCTTGGATATGGATATGTCCTTGTAGAGCACATTTTAATGTGTATGTATTTTTAATTTGCTTAGTTTTGTGTGAGAAATTTCATTCTATTGTCACTTTTTATATTTGACACTGTTTTAAAGATATATCCATGTTGCTGTTATACTTCTAATTAAGTGCCATAACTCTACTTAGTCAGATAGATTTTATTTCATTTCTTTATAGAGTTTAAAACTTTTCTCTGTAAAATTTTCATCTGTATTTGTTAGGTTAATTACTATATAAGAATTATATTTATTATTGTGCATAGCATCTTATTTTCAATGTAGGTTATACTGTTTTAGAGAAATATTATTGATTTTTATAAATTACAATGTATTAGCAAAACTAATAAATTTTCTTATTAGTTCCAATAATGTATTGTGTGGTCTGCATAGATTGTATCCTCTGAAAATAATGATTTTTTTCTTTCTTTACAATCCTTTTATTAGTTATACATCTTTGTTTTAACTGATTACATTAGCCAGGAATTCTTGTACTATGTTATTGAACAATAGTGATTATATTGCCTTTTGCTTCATCCTAAATCTAATCCATCTAAATTTTCTGTTTTGCTTGATTCTTGTTGTAGATTTTAGTTAAATAGCCTTTATCAAGTTAAAAATTTTCCTTCTATTCCTTATTTTCAGGGAGTTTTATCAAAAATAATCATTGAAATTTATTAAAGGCATTTTTACCTGTTTAGAGATAACTGGGTGATTTCTCTTCTTTAGTTCATTAATGTCATGTATTTCACGGATAGATTTTTCTAAAATTAAACAATCTTTGCATGTAGGGAAAAATAAATAAAAATATAGAGAATTTCACCAAAGAATTGGAGCTCATAAAAAGAAACCAAATAAAAATTCTAGAACTAAAAAAATGCAATAGCTGAAATTAAAAATTTAAGAGGTGATTTTAACAGAAAATTAGACTAGTGAACTAGACAAACAGGTTGATAAAAAATATTCAAACTGAACATGGGAGGAAAATAACAAAAAAATTTAAGATACATATAGAATACAATTAAAAGGTCTAATAGATGTGTAATTGGAGTCCATGAAGAAGAGAAAGAATGCAGCAGAAGTAACACTTGAAAAAATAATTGTAAAGAATTGTCCAAAACTTACTAAAGAAATTAAGCAGCAGATGTAAGAAATTCTGAAAATTTTAAGAAGAATAAATAAACAAATCAGCAACCTAAGTTTTGCATTGTAGTAACACTTTTGATAAATGACAGCCTTAAAAACAGCCAGATAAAAGAGGCACACTATGAGCAAAAGGGTTACAGTGAGGCTTACAACCAATTTTTCAAAGGAAGTAATGGAAGTCAGAAGACAACTGAATGCATCTTTAAGGTGCTGAAAGTAAATATTTGCCAACATACAAGTCTAGACCCAAGGAAAATATCCTTAAAAATAAAAGGCGAGAGACTTCGGCAAAATGGCGCTCTAGACAGAAGCACCACACTGTCCCTCCACAGCAAAGATCTGAAAAACTAAGCCAAACAGAGAAAACAACAATCCTGAAACCCTAAAACATCAAATGAAGAGA